AACTTGAACCACTAGGCTCTGACTTACAATGGGAAACGTTAGGAAGTATGAGGGCAGGAGAAGAGGGAAGTCAAGGTGTTTGTTTCCCTCTCTCCTTGCCTATTTTCACAGCATTGGTTCCACTGTGGCTATAGCTCCTGTTGGACAGTCCCTTTTCCAAGGTTCAGTTCTCATTGGATTCTGGTAATTAGTGCCTTTTGCCCATTGAGGCTAGGGGTGGTAATGGATTTCTACTGTTGCTGGAATCAGTTGCTTCCCATTCTTGTTGGTTCTTTAACCTTAATCACACCTCTATAAATAGCCAATTTTTATTTTATTTTTTTAAAGGTTTTATTTAGAGATAGCGAGAGCAGGAACACAAGCAGGGGGAATGGGAGAGGGAGAAGCAGGCTTCCCGCTGAGCAGGGGGCCCGATGCGGGGCTTGATCCCAGGACCCCAGGATCATAACCTGAGCCAAAGGCAGGCACTTAATGACTGAACCACCCAGGCGCTCCTATAAATAGCCAGTTTTTAAAATTCAAACTCTTTGGGGCACCTGGGTGGCTCAGTCGGTTAAGCGTCTGCCTTTGGCTCAGGTCACAATCCCAGGGTCCTGGAATCAAGCCCCACGTCGGACTTCCTGCTCAGTGGGGAGTCTGCTTCTCCCTCTCTGCCCCTCCCCCTGCTCATGCGCTCTCTCTCTCTCTCTCTCTAAAATAAATAAATAAAATATTTTTAAAAATAAACTCAAACTCTTTGAGTGTGCAGTTTCTTTGCTGCTGGGACTCTAACTGGTATTTCCCAAGTCTGTGTTGCCTTCAGAAGCCCATGGAAGGCCAATTAATAGAAGACCAATTAATGCAATATCTGCCATATTGTACGTTTACAAAGTCTTGCCTTTCTTGGCTCTTGAATTTTCCATGCTTTGCTTTTTGTCCCTTTTTTTCCTTTTCAGCAGTGGAGCCTAGCTTTCAATTTCTTCTATTAGAGGCTCGCCAACTTTCTTGATTCACAGCATCCTCAGTGTTCTAGGTTTTGTTTTGTTTTGTTTTGTTTTAAACAATGTGTGTCCAGGCCAGAAGAAATATCCAACGATTTCATTTATTGAGAAATACTAACTAAAAAGCTTCTGTGCAACGAAGGAAACATGAACAAAATGCAAAAGCATCTTACAGAAAGGGAGAAAGTATTTGCAAGTCATAGATCTGTTAAAGGGTTAACATTCAAAATATATAAAAAGGTCTTATAACCCAATAGCAAAAAAAGTCTGTTTAAAAAATGGACAGAAACTGAATAGACATTTTTCTAAAGAAGACATTCACATAGTCAACAGGTACATGAAAAGGAGCTCAGCATCACTAATCAAGGAAATGGCAAGTCAAAACCATAATGAGATAACCTCACAGCTGTTAGATGGCTGTCATCAAGAAGACAAGAGGTAACAAGTGTAGACAAGGATGTGGGGAAAAAGAAACCTTTGTACACTGTTGATGGGAATGTAAATTGGTGCAGCCACTATGAAAAAATAGTATGAAAGTTTCTCAGAAAATTAAAAATAGTACTACCATATGATTCGTCAGTCCCACTCCTGGGTGTATATTTAAAAGAAATGAAAATAATATCGAAGAGCTGTCTGCACTTCCATGTTCATTGCAGCATTATTCACAATGGCCAAGTTATGGAAACAACCTGTCAGCAAATGAATGGATAAAGGAGATGTGAGATACATATGGAACATTAGTCAACCATGAGAAAGAGGAAATCCTGCTATTTGCAACAACATGGATGACCTTGAGGACATTATGCTAACTGAAATAAGCCAGACAAAGACAGATGCTGCATGGTATCATTTATATGTGGAATCTTAAAAAAATAAAAATTAAAAAAGTCGAACACCCAGAAATGAGGTAGAGGAGTGGTTGCCAGGAACTAGGGGGTGGGGAAAATATGGAGAGGTTGGTTAAAAAAAAAAAAAAACTTTTAGTTATAAAATGAATAAGGTCTGAGCACCCAGTGTATAATATGGTAACTGTAATAACACTGTGTAAATGAATTTTTTTTCATTTAAATTCAGTTAGCCAACAGTGTAAATGAAATTTACTGAGAGAATAGGAAATACGTGAAATGATGGATGTGTTAATTAGCTAGATGGGAGGAATCTTCATAATGTATACATATATCAAAATATCATGATATACACTTTAAATATACACAATTTCATTTAAAAAGTTACTTAAAAATATTTAGTATTTATGTCTTAACAAACTAGTACTTTTTGAGTGGAAAAATTGAGAGAAAAGATGATTTTATTTCATTTTTATGTAACCAGTTATTTACTAATGAAGTCTGCCTGTTGTATACTATATAATTTCTCAAAGCATGGAATCAGATGGAACACAGCACCCTTACCTCCTCTTACACATTGATTTTTCGTGTGGAAAAATCAATTGTTGAAAATCCAGTTTAGCAAAGATGTCATCAAAAGGAGTGTCGTACATTCTGATGTTGAAACTGAACTTACCGTGAGCTAGTATTTCTTATGGTGTCCCACAGATGTCACTGTGTTTCCTTTGTAAAGTTAAAATATCGTCCATTGCCCCAAGAGTTCCTCACAGTTTGGAAACTTCAGCCTTCTTGATGCTTCGCTTCTTTTTATGCTAGATGTATGCTGGGTTTTTTTAATTGCAGCATTTTTTAGGCTGTTCTCCTTCCTGTCCTACTTGTAGGGCTGATTCAATGTCTCTTATCTTTTTCTGTTTACTTTCAGGCCTTAAAGAGACTTCATACAAATCATACAGGTGCCTTAGATCTACCACAGTTTTTTCTTTGATCCTAGGTTCAAATTCATAATACCAAATGAAGCACAAGTTGGGACAGAATACTGTCCCATGAGTAGCTCAGATCATACTGCTCAGCTATTTTGATGGTGATTTTACTCCATGTAGAATTTTATTGCTCTTAGAGTTTGACATTACCTAGAAAGATGTCCTTGCTTTCTAGAACTGGCCTGCTTCATCTGGAAAATTGCCAGCAAATAAGCAGTCACACTTAGAGTGTAAATTCAGTTAACATTAGTGACATCACTTTATATAAAAGGTATTTTCCTTTTTAGGTGCTCTTTTCCTGCTTTACCTGTCCAAATCACACTGGATGTTAGGGATTGAAGTAGATTTAGGGTTCCATGAAACAGTGTTAAGTATTGACATAAAAGATCTTAATCTGCTCTAGATCACAGTCACCCTCCCCCCTTAAATTGTAGAGAGTCATATTCACAAGGAACAATGCAAAGTCACAAAATGCGAAGAGCTTTATACCTAAAATCTCAATGTAGAACTCCAGGAAAGCTAGTCGTCCATCTCATATCTTAAGATCTTTCTAACACACTTCAGTTTAAAACACGGAATGAAATGAAAGCAGAAAGAGAAATGAGTCAGTACATTTTATCAGAGTGGCTAGAATAAATACAGATGAAGTGATTGGACCTCTTCTCATCCAGAGAAAGATACAATCTTAACCATGTGTTAAGTAAAGTATAAGAACTTTTAGCAAATACTAATTCCATCCCCAGCATCTGTACCCTTTCATCTGTCTGCCTGTTCCATCACAGGTCTTCCTCCCTGACACTGTGGAATAAGACGGGAGAAAGTGCACCTCTCCTCTAGTCTGAAATAGTGTAGTGTAAATTACCAATCCCTGGTTCAGTTAATTCATCTAGTTTATTTCCCAAAATAACTTCCCAGAATACTTAAACCTTAAATGCCATTTGCTGATCTTAAAAGAATTATGCTCTACTCATATTTCCTCTTTCATGACAGATATTGTCTCATAGTAATTGTGTTTCAGACAGAAGGAGGAGGTGGCCCTGGGTTCACATACTGCCATTTATATCTTTTTCTGATTAGTTACGAGACCTTCTGGTGCATTGTGTTTTTACTCATTTTTTTTTAATGTTCTGTTTTTTTATAAGTGTTCTTTCTCTTTGTTTTCATCGACTCATTATTTAAGGTGAAAAGATTTGTTATTATGTATACTAGAAGCTTATGTAATAGGCATAAGTTCATAAATCGAAAGTTCTTATATGAAAGAAACAACTTATTACTTAGTTGAGCCTAAGGGGGGAAAATGTTTAGCTCTTTTTGTGGATGGTCTGGAAAATCCTGAAAAACAAAGTAATGGAGAGGTCTGGTGCTTTCTAATTAAAATGTATGTAGATTATAACCTATATGTAGGTTAGTTTATGGCTTGACCCCGTTTTTATAAACTGTGTTCTAATTGATTGTTAAAACCTTAAATATGTTTTTCCACATAAGCATTATTTTTAATGATTACAGAGTATTCTCTCATGTGGATATGGTATAATATACTATTTTCTGGACATTCAGGCTGTTGCTAATATGCTGCCTTCTGTGGGGGAGAAGGGTTATAATAAATGAACATCTTTTTGTATAAAATTTACTCTGAATTTCCCCTTCCTACCTGCACAGGCCCCTGCTATCACTAGTCCTATTACCGGTGGTATTCTTTTGAAGATTAAATGACCCTATACTTTTAAAGTGCTACAGTGTGTAGCACACTGTAAGTGCAGAATAAATGCTATCTGCAGACCTTTCCCTGACTCAACATTGGGTTAAGGAAATAAGACAGTTTGAAATGGGTTCTTTGAGAAGAGCACTGAGGTCTTTCAGTAATAGCACAGTAAGTGATACCAAGACTGAAGCTGTGACATGGGGAAGAGTTTCTGTGGTCATTGTTCTGTATTGGTTGTTCCCAATTGTGTATTTGTAAAAAAGGAATATCTTAGCTGGAGACTGGTGGCAAATAAATTTCTTCCTTGGAGTTAAAATATGTAAGTTTGTTAAAATAATATGTAATAGAGAAACATTACAAAGCACTCTTTAAAATAGTGTGACTTTTGTGTGTGTTATCTTTGTTTATTGTATTTGTATTTTATATTTTTTGTGATCTTTTATTCAAGTGTGTGTCCAATGATGTCTTCTGTTTTTTTTTTTAATTATCCTAGTCACGTGAACTGGAAATTTCAGTTTATTGGCGTGATTGGCGATCTCTGTGTGCTGTAAAATTTCTGAGGTTAGAAGATTTTTTAGACAACCAACGGCATGGCATGTGTCTCTATTTGGAACCACAGGGTACTTTATTTGCAGAGGTAATAAATGTATTTTATTAAATGTGCATTACTATAATTGAAATTATGTATGTGGGCAGCATGATGTAGAAGTGGAAAGAGTATTAGGCTGAACTACAGGCAACTTGAATTCTTCGCTCAACTCCACTACTGCATAGGTGTATTACCTTAAGACGAGTCATTTATCCTGTCTAGGTCTGTTTTCTCACCTAGAAAATAAGGAGTTGGGCTTAAATTATATCTAAGATTCTCTTAAGTTTTCAAAACATAGAAGTTTAGTGAATTTCATGAACCATAAATCCAAAGCTGTACTCATGTCAACTTGAATTTTCTTCATTGCAGGTTACCTTTTTTAATCCAGTTATTGAAAGAAGACCTAAACTTCAAAGACAAAAGAAAATTTTTTCAAAACAACAAGGTAGTTACTAAGGAATCAAACATAATGTCTTTTGGTGTATCGTTATACATAGAAGATCTGCATTTAAAAGTGATGCCCATCTTTGTTTTTTGTTTTTCTTTTATTCATTCATTTCTAACTTTTTTAACTAAGGAACATTTCAAACATATCCATAAGTAGAGAGACTAGTACTATGTACCATCACTCAGCCTCAACAACAGTAAACTCGTGGCCAGTTTTGTTTCATCTATATCCCATCTACATACTACCTCAGATTATATGAAGCAAACATAGATACCATATTGATTCTTCCATAAATATTATAGTTAGTATCTCTAAAAGTTCATTCTTTTTTTTAAGAGAATTCTTTTTTAAACCTTAGCCACATGTCATTGCTAGACTTAAAAAAACAAACAGTGCCTACCTACTTATTTTTAAAACTATTTTCACTATTTTGCACCAGCCTTTAATAACAGATGGTTAAGAACTATTTTTTAAGTGACAGATTTTATTTGTTCTTCATAAATTATAAACCAATGAATATGAATTTTTAAATTATGGCTTTTGGTAATCTATAAAAAATTCCTTATTCTGTTTTCTTTATTCACAATATCCACAGGCAAAACATTTCTGAGAGCTCCTCAGATGAATATTAATATTGCCACTTGGGGAAGGCTAGTGAGAAGAGCTATTCCTACAGTAAATCATTCTGGCACCTTCAGCCCTCAAGCTCCTGTGCCGGCTACAGTGCCTGTGGTTGATGTACGCATCCCTGAACTAGCACCTCCCGTTAGGTATGTGGCTACGATTTTTAAGCATCGCTTTTAGGAAATAGTTATTTTTAACATTCATACATACTGCTTACAGTGGGTCTAGTAAAAGTCTGGTTTTTTCCAAATAGTATTTTGAAATTAGTGTTCTGCTTACTTTAAAATAATAAAAAAGTAAAATTGTTTGCTTTAATTTTAAAGCTATTTAAAATATATACTTTTGATTACTGTTTTTGGTGAATTACTTTATCTTCTATAAGTGATTCTACAGTAACCAAATTGGACTTTGATCTTGAACATGAACCTCCTCCGGCCCCACCACGTGATTCTTCCCTTGGAGAAATAGATGAATCTGCTAAATTAAGAGATTCGGATACACCAGGACAGGCAAGGCATTTTAAATCTTGTATAATTTCCTTTTCACCAAATGAATTACTGATAAAAGCATCATACATCATAATGAATGAGATGTACATATCAATTAATTTAAATTGCTTATGTGAACTGTGTTATGTTTCTTGTGAGTAAACATAAAACCTCTGGAAACTCGTGGGCCAGTACAGATGGAATAGGCTGCTGAAGGTAAAAGGAGCATAGGAGCATGGTTGATATTAGATGATATATTGCTTCAAACACTCTTCATCTTAACTTGGTTAACATGATTTCTGGATATGCATTGAAGATGATAATGTGTTCATTTTTCAAATTTTTAAAATAAGTGTAATAATAGAATTAATAACTGTAAGAATGTCCATTTTCTGAATTTTACTTTTCTTGCTAATATTTATATGGACTCTTGACATTTTTAAACTTTAACTTTAACAAATAAGTTGTTTTCTCAATGTTTCTATGATTTAATGAGTATTTAATATTTTATAGGATTCAGAAACTGTCTTTGATATTGAGAATGACAGAAATAGCATACTTCCGAAATCTCCATCTGAATATGAGCCTGATACTCCTCAACCAGGCCTAGGATACAGTGGTATTCGAGAACTTGAGAATAGAAGGTAAAGAATATATATACACAGCTTTGCTACTACATGTTTGGACCCATACTTTTGCCTTATTTTTAATTGACATACTGTTTTCAGATCTCAACCGATGTTTCAGTTTAATCTACAAGACTTCAGATGTTGTGCTGTCTTGGGTAGAGGACATTTTGGAAAGGTAATCTTTTAAGTTTTCTTGGAATGACTACAAAAGTAATGACTCAAATAGAAAATACTTATTTTAATCTCATTTCAGGTTCTTTTGGCTGAATATAAACACACAAATGAGATGTTTGCTATAAAAGCCTTAAAGAAAGGAGACATTGTGGCCCGAGATGAAGTAGACAGGTTAGTTTTTTTTTAATGAAATTGTTTATTTTTCTGAAGTTTTAACTTAAGATCATGAAAATTGATATATATATTGCAACAGGAAAACTTTCCATTTCCATAATATGTGAAAAAACTAATGTATCTATACTTGATATAAGGTAGGCATTAATTATTGTTTTTCTTTCTAGCCAGCTTCTCCTTATGACACTGGTTAGTGGGTACCAAGGAAAGATGATGAAATGTTTAAATTAAGTCTGTTAAGTTTTTTATACTTGGAGATGGTAAAGTGTTTATATGGAACAGGAACTGTTACTCATCTGTAGTTGGATGAGACTATTTCCCATTTCATATTACAGAAGTAATAGAATGTCAGTTACAGGTAATCTGCGCTTAACTGAGTGGTTAATATATTCTGCTTTTTAATATGCACCTGTATCTATTTTTTCTTTCATTTTTCTGAAAATGGTATTTTATAACCAGAACATCTTTTTTTTCTTTTTTAAATTAAAGATTTTTATTTATTTATTTGACACACAGAGACAGAGAGAACACAAGCAGGGGGAGCGGGAGGCAGAGGGAGAGGAAGAAGCAGGCTCCCTCAATCCCAGGACCTCGGGATCATGACCTGAGCCAAAGGCAGACACTTGACCAACTGAGCCACCCAGGCATCCTTAACCAGACCATCTTTCCTGTCTGGGTTTAATAAATGTAAATTGATATGGATACATCTTTATATACAATTTTTAAAATGCACGGACTCGGGGGACAATATTATAATTAGGTTAGAGAATATGCTTTAAAAAGACTGTCTTAATAGGGTGATTAAATACAAAATTATTGTATAACAAGTGGCATATTTATTACAGAAAGAGACTTTCATTTGATATTTATAAGCAGTATTTGTCTTAAACCAATTGGAAGCATCAGTTGATATTAATAGAAGACAGGCCTATATTGAAAAGAGCCAGGACTATGAGTGAAAAGACTGGCTTCTCTGTTCCTGGTTGTTCCTTCTTAATTAATGATTTGACCCCAGGGTAATTCACTGAACATCTTTGAACCTCAGTTAACTCACATATTTTTAAAACATATTTTTTGATAATGCTTTCTTTAATGAATTGTATTAAGTGCTATACACACACACACACACACACCCCAAATTGCTACTTTTCATGATTTTTCCCCATGATATGGAAAGTTCTTTCTTTCTTTTTATGATTTATTTATTTATTTGAGAGATTAAGAGTGCGTGCACTCAGGCTGGGGAGGGGCAAAGGGAGAGAAACTCAAGCAGACTCCACTCTGAGCCTTGAGCCCCACAAGAAGCCCATCTTGGGGTTCAGTCTCACAACCCTGAGATCATGACTTGGGCTAAAATCAAGAGTCAGTCACTCAACCAACTGTGCCACCCAGCCACCCTGGGAAGTTCTTAGAATTAGGATAGATCTTGAAAATGAAGTTTTCCTTTATGTAAAAAAAAAAAAAAACTTCTTTTGGATTTGCCTATTTAGTTTTTACCTGTTTTCCATATCCCTCAATTACATCAAAATAAACTCTTTCTTGATATATAAAACTACTCAGGATTTTGCTGAATATTAATATAATATTCTGTGCACCATAGGATATGTTTAGAACTGTATTTTTATTTTACTGAAGTAGTTGGTTAAAGCAAACTTTTAATCATACTGTCAGTCTGTTTATAACTGCAGTAATAACTAGGGCCAAATATTTTTATTTTATGGAAGAATATTTGCTTTATTCCAGATCTGTGAATGGTAAATTCATTGTTTTCCAAAAATAATAGTAAACTGGTACTACTTCTCTTAATCTTGGTGGTTTATATGGCTTCCTGCTACCTTGTTACTACTACTTTGAGCCAAGTCTTTATAGAAGAACACTTTCTAATTAAATCTAGACAGAATAACAATACTACTATTAAGGAAGAATGTCCAGATTAGAGGATGGAGCTTTAGCCAGAACCTAAGGCTATTACCCCTACTGAAAATTAACCCAGTCTTGGTGAAAGTTGATGAGTGATCCTTACTAACTTCAGTTATAAATCCACATATTCAATAACGAAGTAAAATAATCTTCAGTAGAACTGGTACAAAAACAGAAATAGAAAATCTGGAGAAGTAAAACTCAGTGTTAGAAGGAATTTGAGGAAGGCAGCAAAAAGGAGCAATTAGAGGAAAGCAAGAAAAGAATAGAAAATTAGATGAACATATTTTGAAAAGTAATACATATTTATAACTTGAAATTCTGAATAGTAAACAAACTAATAAGCAGATTGCTTTATATCCCTAGTTCATCCTTTTAATAGATCCATAGAATTCAATGTTATTGCATATTACTGGGGTTTTTTTTGTTTTTTTTGTTTTTTGAATAGATGTTTCCAAAATACTTAGTGACAGTTTTCCTTTCTAAGTTTTCTTTCTCTAGTCTGGATTTTATTATTTTACTTAGAAAACTGCCTTTTTCTTTTTTTAACAGATCATAGAAAATTCCAAATCAGTGTCTTTTTAAAATGAAAATTATGAACTCCAAATGTGATTCATTTACAAAGATTGCATTCTCCACCTACCATTAGTAGAAAATTCTCTGTCCTATCTATGCCCAGTCCTGAGTAAGAATGTTAAATTTATGTCCCTGTAGTCCCTCCTCATTCAGCTTCCTTTTCTTACCAGTTTATATTTCAAGACAACAGAATATTACTGGAATTATATTGGTTGGAAGTATACTTTTGCAGTCATAGAACAAAAGCACAGCTAATCAGATATTGTAAGTATACACTGGGGCACCTGGATGGCTCAGTCAGTTAAGTGTCTGAATTTGGCTCAGGTCATGATCTCAGGGTCATGTAATTGAGTCCAGAATCTGGCTCCACACTCAGCAGGGAGTCTACTTTTCCCTCTCCCCCTACCTCTCCTCCCAGTCATGTTTTTTCTCGCTCTCTCTCTCTCTCAAATAAATAAATAAATGCTTATTTTATGTATAAATAAGTATACATTTATTTATATTTAAAAACCTGTACATACATATAAAATACGTATGAATATGATTCAACCCTAAGACCTTAGTCTTATTACAGTGTTGTTTTCCACTGACCAAAGTAGCTATTTATACAAGTTTTTAAGTTTCTAGACTGTCTATTGATGTACTGAACTCTGAAGGAAGTGCACAAAAAATGTTAGGGTGGAATTAGTCGCTTAGGGAAATAAGATATAAGTACATTAGTTATGTAAATAAAAGCCTAGATATGTTTGAGTTTAAAATAAATAGTACAGACAGTAGCAGCTCAAAGAAAGGGGAACATCATGGTATGCGGATGGATTTAGGTAAGGCCTTGTAAGAGAGTGGATTTGTGCTATTCTTTGGCACATGGAAGATGCTTGGGAATATGGAGAGAAGTTAAATGACAATTAGAGGGAAATGTTATGGACAGAATGAATAAAATTTGAAGTTTTTGAATAAGGTTGGATTGTTCCATGAACTTTTAAGGGGAATATACAATTTAGGTAAGGTTGGGAAAAGTTAGACTCTTACAGAGTAGCTTTTTGGTGTGCTGTGAAATGCTTGAAATTATTATGACAATTTTGGTCTATAAAGAACCTGCCACCTTTACCTAAGAGTCTGAGACATCTATCCATTCCTCATCAGTATTACTAGTCCTCATCAAAGCCTTCCTGGGAATGGCATTAAAGCCATTTAGGAGGCATTCTGATCAGTGATTCTCAATCTTTTACATCATTTACATGTTCAACACAGGTCTAACCTAATACCCATCCATGAAATTAGTGATTCACCCATAATAAATTAGTAATTCACCCATAAATATAAACTATATAGACAATGAAGAGACAGTGTTTGTTATCTACTTGAGCCTAAACATCTTGTCATTTGTTTTTGTCTAAATATTTTATCTACAGTACTCAAAATTTAGATTTATTTCATAAATCCATTGTTTTAGAAGCCATCTTAATCAGTCTTACCCAATTGGACATTATTTTCCCATATACTTAAGAGGTGATGAAAATCAAAGCTATTAACTTTTTTAAAGTCTTCTTTTGAATTTATTTCAAATAATCACTTACTTTGTAATAACACTTAGAAACCTTGCCAAATATATGTAGACATAACCCTAGTTTTAAAACAATTACACTGGGACTTTCTATTTCTGAGTACGTATAAAATCATAAACAGATTGTGTGAAATCAGAGAGAGGGTAAGAGTTTGTCTAGAGTATGACCTTGTTAAGTGGAGTTTAAACACTATTCCATAATAGCTGCATTTACTGTCAGTATTTAAAACTGAACAGATGTTTTAGTTAATCCAGAAGACAACTATATTAACATAGCATTAAAAAGTCCATGTTCCTTCTACACAACAGGTATTTTTTTTATTTATTTAAATGCAGTTAATTAACATATAATGTATACTTGGTTTCAGAGGTAGAGGTCAGTGATTGATCAGTCTTAAATAAAACCCAGTATTATATAAGTGCCCTCCTTAATGTCTATCACCCAGTTACCCCATCCCCTGACCTCCCTCGCCTCCAGCAACCCTCAGTTTGTTTCCTATGATTGAGACTCTCTTAAAGTTTGTTTCCCTCCCTCTCTGGTTTTGTCTTGCTCTTAAATGTTTTTCTACTTAAATTTTTTTTTGAGTCATAGCAATGTAGTCTGGATACCCAAATAAATACTTTATCTTTAAAATTACCTTTTTAAAAAATAACTCCTTAAAAGACCCAAAAGAAAGAAGAATGGATCTACCTCCCTCTAACATTAGCATTTTTTGGCATTTTGAAATTAACAACAACAACAAAAATCTAAGCAATCTTTTAATTTTAAAAATAAAGGCATTGTTAATGCTTTTAAACAAATATTAATGTCAGTAAAGTGCCTATTTTATATTAGAGACATAATCTAATTGTTAATAAAATGTATATTAATATCTTTATTTTGATCAGTTGCTTACAATATGTTAATTCCAACTTGTAGTTGAATAATGTTTGATGGGCGCCTGAGTAGCTCAGTTGGTTAAACATCCAACTCTTGGTTTCTGGTCAGGTCATGGTCTGAGGGTCATGAGATCCAGCCCCGAGTTGGTCTCCACACTCAGCTCAAAGTCTGTTTGGGATTCTCTCGCTCTCCCTCTCCCTCTGCTCCCCCTGCTCACTCGCTCACTCACCTACTCTCTCTCTCTCAAATAAATAAATAAAATCTTTTAAAAAAAGATAATATGTGACCTGGTTTTCTTCTGCTTTGAGTTTTAAAGTCAAGTTGATTACTAAATATTTTCAAGGAAAGAAAGAATGGTATTTTTTGCTATTTAGGTAAAATTAATGTTCCAGAGTCTGTAAGGTTGACCACTGTTCTTTGTAGCAGCTTGTAAGAGTCACGAGCTGCTACAAAGGCGAAACCTGTGATCACTATAGATTTTTACAAATTAGATCATTCTCAAGGAACTTTCTTAAAGCATGTTAATAGAATTCTCTGTGTAGTCTATTTTCCAGTCAGCCTTCGAAATTAAAGTTTTATGCAGCATATCATTACCTTTCAACTTCATATTTTATATGAAAAAATATTTGAATACTATAGCTTATGAATTATAAATACTGTCCTTGAAATTACCTTCATCACAAATTTTATATTTTTTAAATTATTCTTGGGGTGCTTGGGTGGCTCAGTTGAGCGTCCCACTCTTGATTTCGGCTCAGGTCATGATCTCAGGGTCCTGGGATTGAACCCCATGGGCTCCCTGCTCAGAGGGGAGTCTGCTCCTCTCCCTCTCCCTCTGCTCCTCCCCGACCACGCAGGCACGCTCTCTTTCTCTCCCTCTCTATAAAATAAATCTTAAAATTTTTTTAAAAATTATTCTTTAGGTTGTTAAATTCTCACTAATTCCTGATAAATGTTCACAGTTTACCCCTAAGTAAGATTTCTTTAACTATGACCACTAGCCCTGTAGGTGCTACTCTGATACTATAAATGTGAACTTTGATCTTTATGTCATGCTAATATTTTAGTTTTCATTGATATATTTCAATTACAGTTATATATATCAAATAGACCAAATTTTTTAAAGTAAAACTAAGACATATTTTATGGTTTTAAAGTTATAATAGGTAAGAACTTTGCTTATTTTAGAGTTCAGTAATTTTTTAGAGAATGTTACTTCCAACTGGAACTTTTTTTATTTTTAAATGTTTCTCTTACAGCCTGATGTGTGAAAAAAGAATTTTTGAAACTGTGAATAGTGTAAGACATCCCTTTTTGGTGAACCTTTTTGCATGTTTCCAAACCAAAGAGCATGTTTGCTTTGTAATGGAGTATGCTGCCGGTGGGGACCTAATGATGCACATTCATACTGATGTCTTTTCTGAACCAAGAGCTGTGTGAGTATGCTTTAGACATTTCTCTGAGTTTTCTTCATGACAGATTTCTTGCTAGGAAGGAAGAAAGCTCTCTGAACTTTTTTTTTCTTTCCATGAATGGAAAATTTCTGCAAAGAATATGAAAACTCACCTTACTTACCTTTTTGCCATATATAAATGTATTTTACTCTGTTGTACATGTTGAAAAATTTATAGATTACCCTAAATCATACTTGATAATTTAGATACACAGTTTAGGTTCATTTTAGTAAAATTGCTTTTTTTTCTATTTTCTTCCTAGGGAATGCCATCTAGAATCATGGCTTTATTTTATTTTTTTAAAACCATGGCTTTAAATACTAACTATGCTCAAAGTATATTGTTAAATGAAAAAAGAAAGTATAAAGGAGTCTCTATCGTGTATTTATATAAAATATTTATATTTGCATTTTAAAGGGTAATAAGTTAAAAGAATATAAATTAAATATTTGTTTGCATGTGCTTACAATATCTCTGAAAGGACATAAAAGAAACTTGTATGCATATTGCCTCCAATGAAAGGTGTAAAAAGCAAACTTTTCACTCTCTTTTTGTAGTTTTTGCTTTTTCAAATGCATAAAAGTAATAGGAAATACATGAGATTAAAAATACATGTATATATATTTTCTCCCTACTGTTACCCCAGTTTTATAGCTTTTCAAGTAGTGAAGCTAGGATTTGAACCTCGGAAAGTGCTCTGAGTAGCCACACTCTGTATGCCAATGTTTACCAACTTTATATCTCCAGCCCTGACTTCTTGCCTAAACTTCCAACTCTAATAACATTGAGCACCAACTTGACTTCCCTTTGTATGACTAATAAGTATTTCTCTTTGCAAACTGAATTCCTGATTTTTCCCATTTCCCCCCAACCTTACCGACCACTCCCAGGCCTGCTACTCTTCTAATCTTCCCCTTCTTAATAAATGGCAGCACGAGTAGTTCAAGGCAAAACATAGGGAATCATTTTTTTAAGGCTTTATTTTAATTGCAATTAGTAATTGCAATTATAACATACAGTGTTATATTAGCTTCAGGTGTACAATATAGTGATTCAGTAATTCCATGCATCACCTCATCACCTGGTGCTCATCAAAGGTGCTCTCCTTAATCCCCATCACCTATTTAACCCATCCTTCCAACCACCTGCCCTCTGGTAACCATCAGTGTGTTCTCTATAGTTAAGAGTCTGTTTCTTGATTTGAGGGAATCGTTTTTTTTGTTTTTTGTTTTTTGGGTTTTTTTGAGGGAGTCATTCTTGATCCTTTTTTTTCCCCTCACATGCAACATCCAAATTATCAGGTCTGATCAACCTACTTTCAAAACATCCCAAATCATAAAAATCATAAACCAGTAGTAAACCTTTACTGTCTGTATTCTGACAACTGAAATTTGTGCAGCATTTTCACTTTCCCTCCTTTATTTGGTTCTGATCATGACAATTAGAAGTATATAGAGTAAATAGAAGTCCTCTCATACCTTCAAGTTTCAGATGAAGAAATAGAGGGGTTAGTTCTGGTGGTTAGTGATGCTTTCAAAACGGAGAAAAAAGCCAGAAAGTAGAAGGCTTTCCCTGAATATTTAAGGGTTAAAAGCAGAGCATCTAGACTATGCCTAGCCTGTGCTAACTGCACATAGGAATTTGGTTTTGTTTTGCTATGCTCTGGCCTTTTTTAAAGAAATTTAAAATCCAATTCTGCCTTAAGGAACTTTTATTTTTGCTGAGAATACAAGGCATATACAAATGAAACTGTTAAGCCCAATGAAATACAAGAATAAAATGCTACATTGTAGTACTTCAAATCTGAAGTACCTCCCTTTGATAAGACCCCATTAGATTAGATAGATCTCACCTCAAATGGTATTTCTTTGAAATCCTTTCCTGAGTACCCTATTTAAAATACCACTACATTACTAATGCCCAAATCAGATCAGTCTTTTTCTATTTTATTATTTCCATAGCACTTTATTTCTACCTGAAACCATCTATTTATTTTTTATGTTTTTATTACCTGCTCCCATCACTAAAAGGGAGGATGGTGTCTATTCTGTGTATTAGTGGAAATACCTAGAAGTGTAGCTGGCACATACTAGGTGATCAGTGAATTGTTACTGACCAAGACGGTGGCATCAAAAATAATTTGTCTCCTAGCTTTGCACCATTAGACAAATTAGTTACTCTCTTTGAGAGCTTCATTTTCTGTTTCTGTAAAAGATTTAAAGGCTTGATTTGAAGTTTAATATTAAATTTTTAATGTTAAAAGCAAAAATATCCCACATAGTACCTGATACATAGTATAGTAAGCTTCAATGAAATATATATTTTAAACAATATCCCCATTATTTGTTGAGTATCATTAGGGCAATTTGTTTACAAAAAATGAAAAAAGAAATCAAGATATTTTTATAGTTGATATGTTTTGTCACTAAAATAAGTTTCCTAAAAACTTAATATATAAAAATAACTACCTTAAGCAATTTTAGAATCACGTCTGTTTAATGGACTTCAGCTAAATTCTTTAAACTTTCAACAAATAATTATACAAGATCTAATGTGTAACCAAATATTTCTAAATATTTGCATTTTTAAATTCTCCCAAATTATGGTCCCATTTTTTGTAAAAATAAGTAAACATAAAACATAGCTAAATTATCTACCTGTGCATGAAGTGTATTCTAAAAATTTGAACAACATTCACCAAACTAACAAGAGTAATTATCTCTATAGATGGTAGTGTCATTGGGGTGAGATGGATAGATGGATGAATGAAATACTGTGCTTTGGGACCCAGGGATATTATGTGTACGTTACAGAGAAAGTAGATAATGTATTACTTGCACAATTAAGAACTGACCCTCCTAAGTTTTTCCTTGTAAGCTATTCCACACTGAAGACAGATCTGCTTTTTTAAATTAGTTCATTTATTACCTACCTTCTCGTTTAGTAAGCCTGCCATGTGTCAGGCATTGTGCTAAACATTTAGGATAAACACTGCAAAAGACCAACATGGTCCTATTCCTCAAGAGTTAATATTTCTAGCTGGGCTCAAGTTTTCCTAAGATCCAAACCCATTTATGCAATTTCTTTACCTGCCCCAAGGCAATTCAGATTCAACATGTCTAAAGCTAACCTCATTTTCCCCACAAAACTTTGGCTACTTCTCTCTTTACCTATCATTCTACACTAAGAAGGAAAGCTCGAGAGTTATCTTAAGTTTTTCCCTCTCCTTCATCCTCTGCTGCTAGGGAGACACTAAATCTTGTGCTAATTTTAAAGTTTCTCTTGAATCCATCTCCTCCTCTGTGTTGCCCCTACATGGGAGGTTCTCATGGTCTTCCATCTGTACTACCATACCATAACAACCTTACCTATTTGGTTTCCCTCTAGATATCTACCTACTTCTACTCCAGCCTTCATACTACTCTTCCGAAAAATCTTTCTCACATAAATATGATCATTCTGCTCTGATTTAAAAGGTCTGATTCTCTATTGCTAAAAAAAGAAATTTCAGTATCCATAATATGATATTCAGGGTCCTTCACAACTTGACCCCGGGCTGTGTTTTCAGTCTTGTCTCCCACTTCTTCCCCATTCTTACTTTAGCCACAAAAACTTGTTACTGGTTGTCAAATTTACACCTTTTTCACCTCTATTGCTTTCCCTCTAAGGGAATGAATGCCCTGTATTTCCCCCATGAGAGTTCTATACCTTTCACACGGTCCTTCTGCCCTTAAGGTAAATTGTAATTTCTCCAGATCAGATGTGTACTCTAAGGACTTTAGTGACACCACCTGCAGGCAAAGTTAATGGCTTCCATTGTAGAAATTGTATTTTTCTTACTCTTTAATTTTACCCCTGATATTTAGCACATGTCTTACTGTGTCTGGCACATAGTAAGGACTAAATAAATATTTGTGAAATTAGTTAACTACAGAATTCTACTTTGAAGCATAAAAGTATAAACTGGGATTCAAGAGCAGTGGAATTTATTAAACTTCTGATTTATTTCTTCAAACAGATTCTATGCTGCATGTGTAGTTCTTGGGTTGCAGTACTTACATGAACACAAAATTGTTTATAGGTGAGTAAAGTTTTAATACTTTCTAATGGCTTTTGGTGTGAATTTGAATTAAAAATAAGAAAGATATTTTGTGTCTAACCAGCTTTTTAATTTTCTCGTTCAAATGATAAGTGACCTCTAAAAATATTAAGCTCCAGTTCTTTAAAAGAAATAGTTAACACAGTAATTATATGATGAAACTCTTTGTTCTTCTTCTGCCCGTTACCTAATTAAAATAGTCAAATTACGAGTTGGCCTATGATAACAGAATTCACCAACAGTATTCATTCTGGTGCATATTTTATGTTCAGCTGATCCACTGCAGAAAACTTTGATAGACCAATACTACTCAGAATTTGTTCATGATAAAATCAGTAGCTTGTGCCAGAGTATAAAACATCACCCTGCTTCCTTAAGTGTTGCTCTCAACTAAACACTACCTGGTAACATAGCTGATGAATGTACTAGTATAAGCTCCTTATCAAGTTTCAGACCGGTAACAAAATAGTTAATAGCCCAGCAGCCAAGCAGTGGACTATACTTTGAATAGCATTGCTCTAGACTAGACAAATTCAGGAAGGCCGGTGAGAACTAGAAGACTAAAAGCATCAGTTTATTCAAACTTCTAACAGTATTTCCAAGGTAAGTGTTTTCTCATGGTCTGATTTTACTCAAAGGATAAAATATTTTTAACTTAATTTTTAATCAGTTAGCATGGATAGATAGCTTTCTCCTTATTTTACATTATTCTCTTAGCAGGTTAAACCTACACTCTTAGTACTTTATTTATACTGTGAGCTTGACAGTTTTTTCTTATTGAGTGGTGTGTAGGCAAACTTTAAACTTAGTCCAAGTCAGATTTATCACAAATAACAAATTAATAGAACCAGAGTTAAAAATACTTGAACTCCTTCCATGCTTTAAAATACATATTTGAGTAGATAAAACATTCCTTTTTAAAATATATTCTTTTCTATAGAACAGGGCAAAAATTATTTAGAAACTATATTATGTAGAGTAATAAAGCTGCCAAAAGAAAGAAGAGTGAACATTTGTAATAGAATATTTAAATCTCAAATCATAACTTGAAAAACTCACTTTTAGTAAAGAAAAAGTACAGCTCCTATTGAAATGAAATGATTTTTATCCTACATTATCTGATTTTATTGATTTTTTTTCATTTTGCATTTTTTTTTTATCCTGAACAGAGATTTGAAATTGGATAACTTATTGCTAGATACAGAGGGCTTTGTGAAAATTGCTGATTTTGGTCTTTGCAAAGAAGGTAATTGGATATTTTAAAGTTCCTTTTCTAATGGATTACTATTCCTTTGTACTTGGTAGTTTCAAGTTTGTCTATAGAGAGCAAAATGCATTTCTGACTTTAATCTTTATTAAGACGTTACAGACTGTTCACATAACCTGATTATCACATTATTAAAAATTCTGTGGATATGAATAAGGTTAGGTTTTCAGAAATCATAATATAAAACCTAAGATCTTCTTTGTATGATTAATAATTCTGTCACTACTCTGAGAAAACATTGGTTAAGCACCAAATTTTTTACTTTGCTGGGACTGTGCAGAGTACATTACATAGGCCTAATAACTTCTCCTCAGCTTCTTAAAACTTAAAACATTTTTAAATAGGAAGAAAATACGCATGTAGCTCAGAATCCTTTCTATATGTTCAAAAATAAATAAATAAAAGGGAATGTGAATCCGAGGTGGCAAAAGTGTAAAGACTGAAGGCGTAGGCACCAGACAGCCCTAGGTTTGAATCCTGGCTTTGCCACTTATTTGCTATGTTTTTGGATGAGTTACTTCGAACCTCAACGAGTCTGTAATTCCTCTTGTTTAAGAGTATTTTGAGAATTGGAGATATGTGGCCTAGTGTCTAACATACAGTAAATAGGTTATTCTCATCTTGACATTTAATACACTGCATTGTAATGAACATTGTCTGTGTCCCCCTTCTACACTGGGTAGCTTCTTGTTTCTTATTCGGCTTTGTTTCCGTAGCACATGTATAATACAGTGCTTGGCACATCATAAGTATTCTGTGAATGTCCGATTAATATGAGTAGTTGGACGAGTGAATGCGTGAACTTTGTAAATATATCTCCATCAATACCCACCAACCTCTTAATCTGAATCCGATAATATTTTTTTCTCTTATTGGACTTCCCTGTATTGAACACTGTTGATGTAAACACATTTGTCCTTAGCCCATTGCTCTTCACTGCTTATTTTTAACTACAAGCAATATGCTAATGATTCCCAGATCTACTACTCCTTTCCTAACATAAATATTCAACTATCTACTTAACAGCTTTGAATGGCCAATAGATACCTCCAATGCTATACAAACAAAAATAGTTTCTTTTCTTCAAATAGCTAGTTTGTAGTTGATGGTGCCACAATCTTCTCAATCTCCCAACTTGAAAATGTGTTACTATCCTGGACTCTGTTTTCTTCACTTTTTCACATCAAGTTAATGACCAAATTGTGCTGACATCTACCTTCTTAATATTTCTTAAATTGTTCGTTTCCGCTCCACTACTGCCAACTATCATCTTGTTTTGACAAAACTAATAGCCTCTTCACCTTTCCTCTCTAGATTGTTTTTCTCTTTCAAATCTACCTGCCATGTAGTTGCCAAAATGCTAAAAGGGCCCATGTAAATACAAATCTGACCATGGTACACCCCTTCTAAAAACCCTTCAGTGGCTAAGATGTGGTACACAGTGCCCTTCCTGGTCTGCCTGTCTTACCTCTCCAGTCAGCTGTCTTGCTGCTCTCTGCCTCGTACTTTCTGCTTCAGCAGCAATGAAGTGTTGACAGTCTATCCACCAGTATCATCCATCCCAACTCTATTTGCTAATTAATGTTTGCTCATCCTTCAAACTCAACTCAGGTGTTGCCTCCCCAGAAAAGTTACCTGAGGCTCCTCTCCTCTTATCCCACCTCCCAAGCCAACTGTAGGAGCCCCTCTTCAGTGTTTCCGTAATATCTTGCTCTTACTATATCATTATAAAATTATCAGTATATGGGGTGGCTCAGTTGATTCAGCATCCCCAACTCTTGACTTAGGCTCAGGTCATGATCTCAGGTGTGTGAGATCGAGCCTCACATTGGGCTCTGCATTGAGCGTGGAGCCTGCTTAAGATTCTTTCTCCTTCTCCCTCTGCCCCTCCCCTGCGCTCTCTCTCTCTCTCTCTCTCTCTCTCTCTCTCAAAAAAAAAGTGTCAATATATATCTGCTTTCTTCCAGTTTCCTGTAAGCACCTTAAAGACAAGAACTGTATCTTTCATTTTTATGTTTGTACCATTTGGCGTGGATGCCTAGAACTTAACAGGTACAAATATATATTGAATAACCAGACTTAAGAAACATGTTTTTCTTCATTATCATAAAAATATGTAATACATTATAATAATAATAGCTAACAATTTTTGAGCATTTACTATATGCCAAGCACTTTACTAAATGCTTCATAGGCATGATCTCCTTTAATTTGTAACAGTCTTGTGAAGGTAGATAGTAGTATTAATCCATAGATGAGGAAACTAGCCTTGGAGGTTAGACAACTTTTCTAAGCTTCTCACAGCTAACACGTGGCAAAGCAGGAGTTTAAACCCAGATTTTTATGACTCCAGAGCTTGATGTTAACTCCTTCCTTGGAGTTTTACCAATTGAAGTCCTAGCTAATTGGGGGTATTTTCACCTTTCTTTAAAAATACCAGGATAAGAAAATTTATCAGAATGAATTAGATATGGTAACTAAATTACTGTAATTGACATATATTACATTAAAATGTCACAGATTTTATAATACTACTACTATAAACAAAAGAAAGCAAAAAATTAGAGTAGTTTTATCCTAAAAGTATGGCATTTGTAATATACTCTAGTTGTGATCAAAGCATAAAAGGTCAAGAAACATTAGTTCTGTTTCTATCTTTCTTAACTAAAGTTTTCTTAATCTTGGCCAAGTCATTTAAAAGGCTTTTGTAGGGACGCCTGGGTGGCTCAGTCATTAAGCATCTGCCTTCGGCTCAGGTCATGGGCTCGAGCCCCGCATCGGGCTCCCTGCTCATCGGGAAGCCTGCTTCTCCCTCTCCCACTCCCCCTGCTTGTGTTCCCTCTCTCGTTGTCTCTCTCTCTCTCTCTGTCGAATAAATAAATAAAATCTTTTAAAAAAATAAAAATAAAAGGCTTTTGTAGAATATATAGATACTGTATCAGCTTTCTTTAAAATAATGTTTATTGAAGAAAAAGAAACTGGTGTGACAACGTTTACGAAATTTTGCAAAAACAAAATTTCTCCACCTTTATGTGCTAATGTATTTAATTATACTCTTCATGTCTTGGTTCCTAGACTCACAAATTCGTTTGAGAGTTTCAGTCATTATACCTTTTAAAATTTAAAATTGAGAATTTTTCTTTCAAATTCATTCTTAATATGCTTTGTAAGGAGCTTTTTAACACTTTAGAATATATTGAGACATTATCTTCAATATGTACAATGTATATTTGAAATATATTACTGAATTATGAAAAATAAAATAAAATTATGAGGAACATAAATTTGAGAACTAGTTAACTAAAAGATTAATACCGTATCTCTATGACACATTTAGTTAACTTTTGTATTTTACTGTTTTTTTATTTTGATTCCAGTATAGTTAATATATGATGTTACATTCGTTTCAGATGTACAGTATAATAGAATCAACCATTCTGTACATTACTCCGTGTTCATCATGATAAGCGTACTCTTTAATCTCCTATTTCACCCATCCCCCAACCCACCTCCTCTCTGGTAACCATCAGTTTGTTCTCTATAGTGAAGAGTCTGTTTCTTGATTTGTCTGTTTTTTTCCTTTGTTTGTTTCTTAAATTCCACATGAGTGAAATGATATGGTATTTGTCTTTCTTTGACTTATTTCACTTAGCATTATACTCTCTAGCTCCATCCGTGTTGTTCCAAATGGCAAGATTTCATTCCTTTTTATAGCTGAATAATATTCCTGTGTGTGTGTGTGTGTGTGTGTGTGTGTGTATATACACACACACATACACACATACCATATCTTCTTTGGGAGGATTTCATTCCTTTTTATGGCTAAATATTGCATTGTGTATATATATATATGTATATATACATACATATATATATATATATACACCACATGTTCTTTATCCACTCATCTATCAATGGGCACTTGGGCTACTTCCATATTTTGGCTATTTTAAATAAACATAGGGGTGCATATATCCTTTCAAATTGTGTGAGTGTTAAGTGCTAAGTGTTTTTGTATTCTTTGGGTAAATACCCAATAGCGGGTAAATTTTTGAGGAACCTCCATTATGGAGGAACTTCCATACTGTTTTCCACAGTGGCTGCACCAGTTTGCATTCCCACCAGCAGTAACACAAGGGCTCCTTTCTCTTCACATCCTCACCAACATTTGTTTCTTGTGTTTTTGGTTTTAACCATTCGGACTGGTGTGAGGTGATTTCTCATTGTGGTTTCGATTTGCATTTTCCTGATGATGAGTGATGTTGAACATCTTTTCATGTGTCTGTTGGTCATCTGTATATCTTCTTTGGAGAACTGTCTATTCATGTCTTCTGCCCATTTTTTCGGTGGATTATTTGTTTTTTGGGGTGTTGAGTTGTATCAGTTCTTTGTATATATATATAAATATATATATTTATATATATATTTGGGATACTTATATATTTTGGATGCTAATCCTTTATCACATATGCCATTTGCAGATTATCTTCTCCCATTGTCCTTACGTTTAGTTGATTGTTTCTTCACTGTGTAGAAGTTTTTATTTTAATGTAGTCCCAATAGTTTACTTTTGCTTTTATTTCCCTTGTCTCAGGAGACCTATTTAGAAAGATGTTGCTATGGCCAATATCAGAGAAGTTACTGCCTGTGCTCTTTTCTAGGATTTTTATGGTTTCAGGTCTCATATTTAGGTCTTTAATCCATTTTGAGTTTATTTTTTGTATGGTATAAGAAGTAGTCCAGTTTCATTCTTTTGCATGTAGCTGTCTAGTTTTCCCAGCACTGTTTGTTGAAGAGACTTTCTTTTTCCCATTGCATATTCTTGCCTCTTTTGTTGAAGATTAATTGACCATATAATTGTGGGTTTATTTCTGGGGCTTTCTGTCCTGTTCCATAGATCTATGTGTCTGTTTTTGTGCCAGTACCATAATGTTTTGATTACTATAGCCTTGTAGTATAACTTAAAATCTAGACTTGTGATACCTCCAGTTTTGTTTTTCTTTTTCAAGATTGTTTTGGTGGCTAACTCTGGATTATCCAAGGGTTTGCTTTTTGGTATTTTCTATACTATACTTAATATTATTTTTGTAATGAACCAAATAAAATATTTGAAAGATTGATTTTGGAAGATGATAGAAATTGAAGCTCAGAATCAGTTTTTTGTTGTAACTTCTTAGCATCACTTGTAATGACAAGAAAGAGAAAATAAGTAAATAAAATGAAGTATAAAAATTTTATTTATCTTTACACATTAATTAAATAGAGTTACTGTTGCACAGTTTTCTCTATACTCGTCCTTAACATTTTCTTTAGAAGTCTGGTATATCTTGAGTTTGGTCACCATATACAAATGTGGAATTTTAATTTTGCTTCCTAAGGATATCGTCTAATGTTTTATCTATCACCTAGATTTTTTCTTTGCTAACAAACACTTAAATTTTACCTTTTCAGGAATGGGATATGGAGATAGAACAAGCACATTTTGTGGCACTCCTGAATTTCTTGCCCCAGAAGTATTAACAGAAACATCCTATACAAGGGCTGTAGATTGGTGGGGACTTGGAGTTCTTATATATGAAATGCTCGTTGGTGAGGTAAGCACTATAAAATAGATGAAAGAGAAATGAGGAAAGATGATTGAAAGATCAAAAGATGTCATTTATAAATGACTTAATATGTCTCCTGCATAAGTGGAACTTAAGTTTTATACATATTTATAATATATTAATAATTGCCTATGATTCTACTGTCTTGTACTCTATACCTATAACAAAAAGTCAGCTATACATTGGTCAAAATAAATATTACCTTCAGAAAGGGTATCATAGAATTAAAAGATTAACATTTTTCCCCCTCCTCTTTTCTTCAGATTAACTTAAATTTCTGGGGGGCGCCTGGGTGGCTCAGTCAGTTAAGTGTTTGACTCTTGGTTTCAGCTCAGGTCATGACCTCAGGGTCATGAGATCGAGTTCTGCATCCGGCTCCATGCTCAGTGTGGAGTCAGCTTAAGATTCTCCCCCTCCCCACCCCCACTCCCAGCTTGTGTGTGCATGCACTCCCTCGCTCTCTCTAGCTGAAAAAAATTAATTTCTGGGGATAGCTTCATTTTACATAGAAATTGTTACCACTTAGGAAATGGTGAGTTATATCTAATAAATAAAGCAACAATAATTGGTTAATCTATTTTGTTATAAATTATTGGAAATGATAAATTAGAGTGGAATTGGGAAAGGGTAAATATTCAGACAAATAATTGAAAACCGCTTAGAGGGGCTTGGTGATCTTGGGATGCAAAAAAGAAAAAAAAAGCTTGGTTCATTACTTTGCAGTTTTCCCAGCACCAACAATCTTCTTGTACATTCTAGGTGTGAATAAATTAGTAGCTAAATAAATGATTGACCAAATTATTGAATGTCAGAAATTTCTAAAGTTTTACTCTGTATTGTCATTTAATGACACTTGTTCCAAACAAAGGATTTTAGTCTTTCCAAAAGACAGCCCCTTTGGTATGTCAAATTGGAGTGGACACTTAGAAAAGGAGGAAAAGAAATCACTAATTAAAATGTTTACCATGTGCTAGGCACTGTCTTATTGGCTTTATAGATACTAGCTCATTTAGTTTTTCAGCAACCTTTAATGAGCTCAATACTAGTCTTATGCCTATTTTAAGGTATATAAATGGAGACACAAAGAGGCTAACATGCTTAAAGTCACAGAGCTCTCATGTGGTGGAGCTGGGATTTTTAACTCTGGCTCTGTGGCTTCACAACCTCTCTAAACCCTTATGTTTTGCTACCTTAGGGTATGGCATCCACCCAAACTTATTTCTGTTCTTAAGACCAGTGATCCAGATCTGAAAATTTTGACCTCTATCTCGAAAAGCTGTTATACAGTGTTTTAGGATGGAAAGATATATTTTATCCCTAATCCACAGTGGTGTTTGCTTTCTAAGAATGCCAGAAGTACCCATAATAGTTGTTTCCATAAGCTCTGGCATACTTGAACTCCCCCCCCCACTTTTTTTTTCTTTTTAACATTTTTGTTGCTTTGATTCTTTAAATGTTGCATTCATTTTTGTATGAGATGTAGTTACGTTACCAAAAATTACATGCTTGCTTAAAATGTATTCCCCATATTAGAGCTGACGGGCAAAAGTATGAATTTATTACAGAATACTACAGAATTAAGAGCCAGTCAGTTCTACCTCCTCTTATCCTAAAGTGACTGGAAAATTTGGCAGTGAACAAATGTGGAAGCTCTTGTTCTGTGTTTTTTAAAAGAGCTTCTAATTGATTAACCTCCTAATTACTAGGATATAAAAGACAAGAGATCCAGCTCTTCCTTCACAATTTTTTATTGCAGTATCCTTTCTCTTTAGCACCTTATGCATGATAGTTGGGAAAAGAACTAAACTTAAAACATCAATATACTTTATAATTTTATAGCATTGGTAAAATTTTAGCAGTAACTTTTAACTGTGATAAAATGAGGTTTGGCTAAAGTTTATGTTTAATTTCTCTATTATTGCAAATAATTGAAAACTCGGTATATCATGCATTTTCAAATTTGTTTTTGAGATTTGTATTTGTGTTAGTATGGGTTTTGAGGACTGGAAAGACTCCAGGAATAAACTAACTAGGTACTAGGTCCCCTTTCCTAGTGCCAAATGATAATGAAAGTATCAGAGAAATTTAAAGTAAACTTAGATACTGGAGTTGGACTCTTGACATCTGAAAAGACCATTGAGTTCTTTTTATATCTACTTTAGACACATTTGTTAGCATTCTATTTTTAGTTCTGTTAGCAGAAACAAAGAACTTTAACATCTTAATGAATATGTGGGTATATCTTCGCTATTCAGGGATTTGTAGAGTGACATTTTTTAAATTCAAAATTGACTCATCAAATAGACAAAAGTGCTTTGGATTACCACTTAAAATTCTGATTGAGAATCCTTGTGAAATAGAATTTTCCTCTCATTTGCTGCTGTCTCAATCCCAGAAAGAAATTATATTATCCCACATAGTATATATTTCATTTATCTATTTGATTTATCTATTTTGAGTGAGCTAATAAACTAAGGGTTTTTTTTTTTTAAGATTTTATTTATTTATTTGACAGAGAGAGATAGGGAGAGCAGGAACACAAGCAGGGGGAGTGGGAGAGGGAGAAGCAGGCTTCCTGCTGAGCAGGGAGCCTGACATGGAACTTGATCCCGGAACTCTGGGATCATGACTTGAGCCGAAGGCAGACGCTTAATGACTGAGCCACCCAGGCGCCTCCAAACTAAGGTTTTGATAACTGAAAAGTTTGAAATTTCCTTAGATATGAGCAATAAGATTGGCAGCTCAGCTTTAGGAAGTTGGGTTCTAAATTCATTTTCATATATTCCTCAGGTCAAAGATCCTTCTTTTTCCATTAGTACTGCTTTCTCACTGGTGGTTATTCACTAATAACTTTACAGGAAGCAAGCAGTCAAATCTAAGTCATCTCAAATTGTGAGGTAATAAGTCTTATTTCATAGCCACATTTCAACATGGTTGAGTTTATCCCTTTGTGCATCAAATTGTTATACCGAATGTAATTTCACTACTTTTTTTATTAGTATCATTATGAACAACAATTTTAATACTCTGCTACTGAAATGCCCTAAGACTGGTTGTATATAGAGCTTAAATTAAAAATGCCTAGAAATGTTTGCTTTTGAGTTTAATTTTGTTGGCAGCTGCTTCTTAGTCATTATACCTGCAGATCTCTCATTGTATTTTGCTGATTAATTTTCTCTTGCCTGAAATTCAAAGCACATCTATGTCAGATGTATTCCCACAAACTCTGTGCTGCTCTGGCTACACTTATTACCATATTTACCCATTTCCTTCTGTCTTTCCACAAGATTGAGCTTCTTGAGGAGCATGTCGATTATCTAAATATTTTTCAGTATCTAGTAGGCACTCAAAATATTGACTTTCAGGCCAGATAAATGAATAATGAATAAAAATAAAATGGAATGGAATTAAATTAAATTAAAAATGATGTTATATAATATAACCAAATTTGTTATTGAGGTCTGGGAAATAAAGTTGAAGAAGATTTCAATGAGAGTATATGGTGTATCATCTGGGTAATAGTTTTATTGTGTATCTTTTGTGGCTTCTTGTAGTCCTTGTTTTTTTGGTCTTTTGGTAGTTTGGTTTGTTTTCTTCACTACCTGGTTCTTGGTTGTACTTTGGATAGGTGATAAGATTTTACAGTACTGAAATTCATTTTGACTTACTCGAAGATAATTTCTTCTAGTCTCCCTTTCCTGGTGATGATGAAGAGGAGGTTTTTGACAGTATTGTAAATGATGAAGTAAGGTATCCAAGGTTCTTATCTACAGAAGCCATATCAATAATGAGAAGGGTAAGAATTAATGATTTATATACTACTTAAATTTCTTACATTGAAGGACATTTCTCAGGATTTTAGAAGTTGTTTTTCACTTCATAGATGTTGCATGATTTAGACAAACACATACCAAAAGAACATCTAAATCTTTGCAGGTTATGAGAACCTTTATCAGTGAAGTCACTGGTTTTATTTTAACTTTTATATTTTATGTTGTGTTAGCTATTAAGAAGAAATCCTGAGCGGCGCCTTGGAGCTGGTGAAAAAGATGCAGAGGATGTAAAAAAGCACCCATTTTTCCGGGTAAGTGTGAAAGTTTAAAATTTTTTGTGAAACTAGCAATTAGATGTAGGAAACTAAACTGGTCATTTTATATTTTGTAATCCAGCTAATTGATTGGAGTGCTCTCATGGACAAAAAAGTCAAGCCGCCATTTGTACCTACCATTAGAGGACGAGAAGATGTTAGCAATTTTGATGATGAATTTACCTCAGAAGCACCTATTCTGACTCCACCTCGAGAACCAAGGATACTTTCAGAAGAGGAGCAAGAAATGTTCAGAGATTTTGACTACATTGCTGATTGGTGTTAAGTTCCTAGACACTGTGAAACCAAGCAAACTGACTCACAAGAAGACCTCTTAACAATAGCAACCCTTCATTTGCTCTCTGTGCCACCAGTAGCTTCTGAGTTTTTTGTTTAAACACATGAAGATTTCTTTAAAAGTACTATTCTAAAACCTTCTTGAAAGTGGCTTCTTAATGTATTTTCAATGTAAATCTGAGCACTGGAAACAGTTTCATGGAGTTTAAGTGGAGTGAACATCGGCCATGAAAACCTATCACAAATGAATACTTTTGGATCAGTAGTCTATTTTTTAAAAAAAGGAAAAAAAAAACCACTCTTCCACAGTCCCTAGCTATGCCTTAAGTGGAAGGAAGATTAATCATTTCACTTCATTTTTAGCTATATTTTACAAAAAGAACAAAAGGGCTTGGGATGCTTTTACTATTTACACATAGTAATTCTGTTTGAATAAGGCAAATGCTCTTATTTTTTTTTACTGAAATTACTGTAATATCAAAAAAATGTGGTTTGTGCACATTTCTTGGCTTTTAAAAAAAACGAATTGATGTTTTATAAATTTTCTATATTTATTAGGAGAAAATTTTTATCGCCTTATCTTTACCAACCATGTAACAAGCCTCATAGCTTTCCAGCAGAGCTACTTGCCAAACAGTTTTTTGTTTATTAAACCATGCTGAAACAAACAAGAACAACTAAACATCAGCATTTACTTAAAATTTTAAGAATGAGGACTTCTTATTAGCCTGAACCAAGATACTGTATTACCTGTATGCATTCCCAAAGTCTAGACACTTGATACGTTCAATCATACCTTCTTCCAAAATCAGTGAACTAATTACTCCTTTTTTGATATTCATTGTACATTTATCAACCCAGTTCATCTTGTTCTTGTGTCTACTGTAGAAGGGAACTATATCTGTTAAAACATAGGGATTATCATTGTATACATGCTGTGAACATGTATATGTGCAAGTTGTAATGTATTCTGTGTTGTAGGTTTATTATTTAATTTCACCACTTCATCACTTTTGTACAGTGGCCAAGCAGACACCTCAAACTCCAGCATTTATGTTAAGTGCATTTGTACATTCTAGGCCACTGGATCCAGATTTTATATTGGCAGTTACTGAGGGCAAAAGCAATATATTGTAACAGAATGTATAAATATTTTTGATAAAACAGTCTATATTTTATAAAAACTATGATAACACTAAAGCTGTACCTCAAAAGTCTCAAAAATAATTTGATCAAATGCTTTTTACAACTTTCCAGAGGATCCATTTGTGGCTTTTTTAATGCTCTTATAGGAAAGTCTTTTGGCAAGCCATGACTCTTCCACTTGCCTGGAGTTTTTTGGGTTTTTTGTTGTTGTCGTTAGTTTTTGCATTCTTTTCCTTCTAGTCTATGACTTCACTGTTTTTCCTTAATTCAATAATAACATCCTTGATTCTGTGATGAGCATGTTAGGGTCATCATATCTCAGGAATAGCAAGTTGTTAACCGTACTGAATTAACCATTTAATCACAATGATCTCATGTCTTAAAAATTGTTCAAATTTAAATTCTATGAGAAACATAAAAGCACATTGATTTATAGAAAGTTTATAAATATTTCAGCCATGCTAGGGTGTGTTGACATTTTTTGTGTACTCTGAGGACAATTAAAATTGTTCAGAGATAATTCATATTTCCTTCCAAATTAATTATTACCCAGGATTCTTTGGGGAAAAAAATCTTATAGAAACAGGGAGCAATATGTTCTAAAGTTATTTTAAAATGCCAGTTAACTTCCTTGTTAAAGGACAGTAGAGGATCTTAGCTTAATTGTCTGGCTTTAATTTACACAGTATTAACATGAAAAAAACACTAAATACTTTTGAGGTACAGTCTGCTCACCATTTCTGGTTCTCAAATATGCATAGAAAGCAATGTCTAAAATAGGCTTTTAGCATTAAAAACTGACATAGCATTTTGTAACTACACAGTGTACAGAAATTTTTTTTTAATTGAAGTCAATCACTAAAAAAAATTAGAGGGCAGGGTATATCACACAATTAAGCTGAAGAAAGCACTAATATTTTCTGTAGTTTTAAATATATATATATATATTTTAGATTTTAAAATTTTAAACTCTATAGAGTGTAAATATATTTTGCTATTACTGTATGTGTAAGTGACTGCTCAAGCACTTTGTAAGGAGATTATTAGTATATTTTAGAATGGTACACTATGCATTCAAATGAAATGTGCCTTTATGTCATTCTAAGAAAAAAGTGTTTTGCAGTCATAAGTTACCACAAATGCACAAATTAAAGTTTAAATAGATTATAATTTGTAACTTTGGTTTTAAGTATTATTTCCCTTTGGAAGCTTCCTGTTGGTCAAAATATGTATTAGCTCTACTATATTCAAGATCTCAAAGACTAACTTTGCTTAGCTTTCTTGCAAGTGCTTTTTGTCCTGGTAGGGCAAAATCTGATTCAGAGCAAATTGTCCACTTCACTGGAAGTAATGGGAAAGGTTTGCATTCTACCTCAGTAATATCAATGGCATCTTTTATTCAGTGGATATTATAAGATGCCTTCTGTGTGCTATATACTGAGGATATAAAGATGAAAAAAAATCAAAGTCTTAATAAATGAAAAACAGTGTGCATTAAAATGCAAGCACCAGTAATATGTGTAGCATTCTCTTGTTTGAGGTTAACTTTATTTTAGGACCTGACCTTTCCAGAAACAGAATGCTAGTCATTGTATAGTCATCTTATTCAAATATTGCAAATGGAATATTTTAGGAATATAAAATGATCCATGCTATCCCTATAACACAAACTGAGGTCACAGTGGAAATTGTCATTATATGTTGACTAGGTGAAAGCTGCATTATAGATTCAAATCTTAACAGAATTTTTACAGGTATTGTTGATCTTCCCAAAGCAACTGAGGGTGAGTATGAGAAACCCAAAGGAACAAATACCAATTCATGGATCATAATCTTAATTAGAAATCTTGTTTACCTTCCAGCTATCTTTTGAAATCTAATGTATCTCTGAGATACTGGCCTTATATGTATATAAATATCTGTATTTATAAACATACATCTATAAATATATACATGTATAAATAGAGGTAAGTTTTTAAATAACTTGTAAGTGTCAGAAATCTTGCATTATTTCCACTTCTAGTATCATGACTAAGTTCCTAAGACCTCCAATAAGACACATAATTTGAGGCACTGCTGGTCTCATTAAAGGTAAGAGTGGTGTCTGGCAGTCCCTCACCCCAAAACAGACACACTTGAGCATGAATCTGGATAAGCTGGGGCTTTAGCACCTAAGAATTAAATGCTCAATCACGAAAATGAGCACTCAGAAGTTGGGTTTGGAAGCTGAGTCCACAGAGTAGGCCAGAGAAGTAGGAAGTTGGAGAAGAGGATAAGAGCCAGAATGGCAAGGAACTAGCTTTGAAAATGAAGGCATTCAGAAGAAGTGAGTTTGCCAAGAATGGATTTACTATAGCAACACCATTAATAAGAATAACAAACCTTGCAATAGCAGTAGAACTTAACGTTTTGTGTTAAAATCCTTGAGAGGAGCTCAAGTTTCAGTTTGCAAGTCACTGTTTTTCTACCAGTAAAATCAAATGCTTTTTGAAGAAAGCTTCTCCAGAATGGGAACATAGGACTTCCACAAATTAAGATCAAGTAATACACTGCTGAAGATCACCAAACACATGAGAGACAGCAAACTAACTTGAATGAGCACTAACAAAGTAGCAAATTTAGACATCCCCTTCAAAAAATTGCAAATATATGAATTCTCAGATACAAAATATAAAATAGCTACGTATAAAATGTTTATATACCTAAAACTACCAGGATAAACAAGTAAAGTGAAATTTTAAGGAAATTAACATTTTTAAATCCAATAATGAAAAATGTAATTGATCAAATTTGAAACAGTGTTGGTTAACAGCAGATGAGACAGTGAAGAGAGAACTGAAGAACTGAACAATATATCTGAAAAATTAATCCCAAATAGATAAGGAGATGGAAAATATGAAAAGAAGGTTAAGAGATAAGGAAAATGGAGTTGAGACCTGAGAAGACAGAATGGAAGAGAGACGGTATTTCCAGAGATAATGGGCTGCAAATTCACCAGAGATTAAAAAATATCCAGGAACCAGGATATTCTCTGTAAAGGATAAATATAAATAAATGTATGCATAGAACCATTGTAGTGAAACTGTAGACCACCAAGACAACCTCTTGAAACTACCTAGAGAGAAAGGACTAACTTGTCTATAAAAGAAAGAGCTAAAAGCTGACTTCTCAATATTAACAGTGAAAGTAGTAGAATATTCTCTTTAGAGCATTGGAAAACAAAATGTCAGCTTGGAGTTGTGTAGAAAGTGAAATTAGTTTAAGAGCAAATGAAAATATTTTTTAAAGGAGGGTTTACTCTTGAGGGTCCTACTGTAAAGGAAGTGCTTCAAGAAGGAAAGTGATCCCAGAATGATGATCTAAGACCCGAAAAGGCTGTGAGAAAATGGTAAACACTTAGGTAAATTAAAATAAACAACTCAATTGAACAGATGACTTGTTTGTTTGCTTTAAGTCAACAAATTCCAGACAACAGTAGTAAGACAGTTGAGATAGGGAAAATCAGAGCTGAAGTATTCTGTTGTATTGTTGGGTTGTCAAGGTATTAACTTTAGTTAAATGTACATCATGAAATGTCTGGGATGTTCATGAAAAGAATATAGTGCATATAAATTTCAAACCAAGAGATAAAATAGTAGAAATAAATTCACATATACCAATAATCACAATAAATGTAAATGGAACAAACTCACTAGTTAAAAGTAAGGTAATCAATTTTAAAAAGAAAACCTAGCTTGATAACATTGACAAAAAGATACATCTAAAATATAAGTATATAGAGAAGCTGAAAGTAAAAGTATGAGGAAAAATACACGAAGTGAAAACATACCAAGTTAAAGCTATGGTAGCTCTACTTCATATCAAAACCAATTTTAGACCCATCGTGAAAAAATATCACCAAGAGTAGAGTGTTTCTACATAATGATAAAATAGTCAACTCACCAGTAAGATATACTAATTCTAAGCATGTATATGTATTTAATAAAATAGTCCCTAAATGCAGACTAAAGCAGAAATTGATAGAGTTACTAAAAAATACTTAAAATATACCCATCCGGTTGGAAGGTTTCACTTGCGTTATTGGACAATAGACTTTTTAAAGAGGAAAGATAATGTTTGAACAAAACAGCTTGATCC